CCTCGACCGCCTCTCCCTCGTACCGTTGTTGTCCCCTCGTTGTCACGTTTGGTTATTGCCTTCTGCTTCGTTCCTTGGCCCGTCCGCCTGCTGCCATCGGTGCACACTTTGCCGGTCACCGGCGCGCTCATCCCCACAACAACACGTCCTGCACCCGAGTTTGCAACCGGACCGTCAACGTCGCATCCCCCGGGGCCGTCGTGTGGGGGTCCGTTCACCTCGCCTACCGGTTGTCTCGTCTCTCCGGACTCAGGTTCTCCAATCCCCGCATTCTCATTGTTCCCTTTCATGTCCTCCCCTGCCATGTACTCTATGTGCCGCAGCAAACCATCAGAGTACGTCACCAGAAACGGAACACCCAGAGGGTCTCTGAACTTCATGGACAGGTCTGCCCCGCAGACATAATGCATGGGACAGACAACGGGTACCCATCCAAGAAGTGCTGACCGCCTGTGTCTGTGGCGAATGAGGTTGAGACAGTTATCAGGAAAATCTGCAAAGATGTATGTGCCTGCGCCAGCAGCCTGCAGTCCCCACATGGTCTCGTCCTCACGACCGTCATATCCACACAGCACCATCTGACGGTCCTCAACCTTCAGATTATCCCAACACATCTTAGCATGTTCGTGCAATAACGCTCTGTCATTCACCCTTGCATTGCATATCGAAACACGAGCCAGGACAACCATGAATTGCCAATGCTCAACAACACCTGAAGGGATCCAACCCATAGGTACCCACTCGCCACCTCGAAGTCTGGCAGCCATCGTAACTTTGTTTTCAAAAATGGCAGAATGAAGGACACCAGGTACCCAATTCACATGATACCCGTACATTTCCACAGATGAATGTGTGCTCAACTCCGTTTGTGGAAAAACAGTGGCAGATATGTCAATATCTTGCAGCCTCTCCGTCGTTGTCCTCTCGGGGTCCCATATACTAACGAAGAGACCATCATAAGTGACCTCCCTTCCTCTGATGTGCCGCATACAAATGTTGTCTTCCCCAGAAAAAACTTTCCCCTCTGCAATTGGCGAAAACACGGGGTTCTACAGTGGGATCAGACATCTCCCTGTCGCAGCATCAACGCACTCCGCCATCTCATACTCCAAACAATGAGACAAAAACTCCCCATTTACAAAAACTGTACTCCAACAGTTCCCCATGAGATCGTGCACAAGCATCCTTATCTCCCCATATTCACAAGGAATGCTTGATGGCACCCAACCCCACCGGGCATCCCGCCCTGCATCATTCTTCTTACACACTCCCTCCCCAACCCGGTTGCTGTCAGAAATCACCCATTGTTGGGAGCACTCCTCATAATCGTAAAATAAGTCATTGAGCCGTAACCCCCCCCCTTCTGCCAACGCCTCCCAAAGGACATGCGTGCGTTTGATCAGATCTAGAAGTGCAACGCCGTCATTAAGCCTTGTCAGTCGGTCGAAAATAATGACAGCCATTATGTACCGCCATGTTGCCAAATTTGGCGGATAATAAGGAACCCATGTATCACCGGTCTTGAAGGCAAAGCAGTGTTGAGCCCCGATCAAGCCTAGCTGCACCTTGTCGGGCTCCCAGTTGATATCGTGCAGGAAATGCGTTCCTGCTTCAGTCTTGGTGATTGTGTCACTCGGAACTGTGCACATCGGAGTGTCTCCGTCGCCTGTCCCTTCGCCGTTATCCGCGTCCTTGGTGCCAGCCACGCTAATGACACCCAAGAGGCCCTCTGATTCCATTTGCAACGTCGATTCCAGGTTCGTATCGTTACCTGCCACCCCTCTCCCAGGACTGCGAACGCAGTGCTTGTGAGAGTCATCTCTTGCTATGACGTTCGAGATATGTTGATGCAGGTCTTTGCTCGTGCATGCAATAGTCTCGCCCACCATGTTCGTGGAGACATTTGACTTCTCCATCTATAAGACGAGACATGACATACATGTTGCATAACATCTGACGGCCGACACGTTAATCGAGAGAGAGAGAGAGAGAGAGAGAGAGAGAGAGAGAGAG